TCAAGCGAACTGCAAGCAGACAAAAAATGGAGGCTATTTTGCATTACAAGGGGTTATTGGTTGGTCTAAAAATGTTTGGTGTTCATCTGATAGTTTGACATTAAATCCTATGGAGCTTAAATAGTCCCTTATATTTTCTAATTCTGTCTGGTCTGAAGTATAGAGTCTCTGATAGTAGACGCTGAAGGCCTTCGATATGTGATCTGAAGTTACTTGTATATTTCCCTCTAAGTTTCTCAGCGCATGAACTAGTGTCGATGCTCTTTTTTTCTCTACTTTGTGTTTGAGTAGTTTTATGGATTTTGAAGTTCTTGTGACGTACTTCTGTTTAATGTATAGCAGGTTTTTTTGTATTTTCGATGTTTCCAGTAAGTCTAGTTTCTGACGTTCTGTGTTTAATCTTTTTAATAGTTCCCCCCCCATATTGCATGTGTTTTAATTCTAGATCCTTAATAGATTTCTGAAGATCTGTAACTAATGTTTGTTTTTCCTTTTTACAGAAGGAAGCCAAAGAAATTAATTGGCCACATAAAACAGCCTTGAAGGCATCCCATACTATTGTTGGATCTACCTCTGTTGTTGTGTTAATTTGAAAATATTCTTTGATTTTCTCTTCAATGTCTATAGTAAATCTATCGTTTAATAATAAAGATTTATTTAGCATCCAGTTTGGTCCTTTCTCGTCTCCTTTTTGGTATTTAATAGAGCCACTGATCCATGCGTGATCTGATAATGTTATGGTACCTATTTCTGTATCTTGAAAGTGTGACATTAAATTTGCAGAAGCCAGAATGTAGTCAATTCGTGAATATGTCTGGTGCGCATTTGAATAAAAAGAAAACTCTTTGGCACCTGGGTTCATAATTCTCCACACGTCAATTAAGTTATTTTTATCTAGGATATTCCCAAGTTCTGTATTAATTGTTTTTTGATTTTGACTTCTCATGTTATGTCTCTGGTAAGTACGATCTATTCGTGGATTAATAATATAATTTAGATCACCTCCTATTAAGATTTCTCCCTGTTTAAATTCCATTAATGAATCAATCACGTTTTGTATAAAATCAATTTGGTCAACATTGGGCGCGTAAATGGAAGCAATTGTTAATGGTTCTCCGTTTAAAATTCCTTTAATAAAAATAAATCTACCTCTTGGATCAATTTTTGTGTGTGTGTGTTGGAATGGAAAGTTTTTCGATAAAAGAATTGCGGTACCTCTAGATTTGGAAGATCCGGCTGCATGGTACTGTCTGTCAAACCAAGATGATTTCAGGACTTGTTTTGTAGATTTCCTCAGATGTGTCTCCTGCAAACACAAAATATCAGGGCGCTGCTTGGCCCAAAAAGATGAGATTTTGTATTGTTTCCTTTTACTATTCAGACCTTTAGCATTCCATGTAATTATTTTCAACGTTTGTGCCATCTTAATTCACATATATCTTGAACTTTTCAAACTATAAAACAAAACTAAACTTAATCTAACCTTTAACCTTTAACTGACAATACTACCCTTTACCAAAAAGGGTACTCTTCCTGCTTATTTTCCGGGGGTGACTACCCAAGAGTCTCCCCACCAGGAAGGAATCATAACCTGTTGCGGGGGGAATAATGAAAATTTTGCTTTGTATTGTTGGCTAAAGATTAGCTCAGCCTCTCTCCCTCCTTTGCAAATCATAATGTCTATTTCAGTAGTGGTTTTAATGTAGATATCATTTTCCTGATATGAAGTCAGTAATCATTACAAGAGTAATCTATAATATTGTTTGGAATATTTCCCTTTTGTTTCTATTCATATTTAATATTCCACATTTCATTTTCTTGTGCTATAGGTAGTCTTATAGAGCAACTTTACTATTTGTACCAGTTAGTAATGTTTGAAAACTTATAACTGTCTTGCACCTTGGCTTGCACTAGAATTATCATAACTCTGATCAGTCTGTTTATAATAACAAGTTTTGATAAAAATTTTAACTTTCTTATATTCCCATCCATGTATAATGTTCATTATAAATTCATGATTTTGATTCTTGTAAAAACACATAAAATCAATATAGATGTATTTCAAAAACCTATATATTGCTCTTAAAAAATTCATTAGTGGTTTTGTCAATATAAACTTTTTAAATCAGAGTGGGTACCTGTTAATTAAAGATAAGCACCTTTCATTATCTATTAAACATTTAATAACACATTAACCATTTTTCCATCTTTGTGCTTTGGAGTAGTGTAACATTGGAGTGTTTCTAGTGAATAGTATAACTTTAACCATGAACTATAACTTTATCATTCAATATTTTTAAACTTCTTTGTTATCCTCTAACATTTTCAAAGTCTTCCAGCAATAATGAACAGTTTAGATAAACAGTGCTTTGTTGTATGCTTCAACTTTATATTTTTCCAATTCTAGATGTATTTAATTTCTAAAGTTCCTTTGTCTTCCTTTCCTTATGTAATAAATTTCTAAAGACGGTGTAATGCTTGTTTCTAGGTGTGAGTTCAAGTATTGTCTGTGCCTTGGTCTTCGTCCGTTGCGATTTCTAATCCCAGAGTTGATAGTAGGGCTCTTCCAGAGGAAGCATAATGTGCCTGATGTAAAATCCCGTTTTTATATACATGTAGGTCTGAGGTTGGGCTCCATCTGAATTTTACGTGCGCCTGAAACAGCTTGGTTGCAATGATTTTTAAAGAGCGCCGTTTTTCTAGCGTTTCGATAGAAAGGTCCAGTAAGACTTGTATCTTGTCTTCATTATATTGTAGTGTCCCTTTTACTCTCGCCTCGCGTAATATTTTATCTCTTATTGATGAGTATAAGAATTGGACCATTATGTCACGCGGGCGATTTTTCCGAGCGGATGCTAGTGGGCCCAGCCGATAGGCTTTCAAAATTATCGGTGCCTTGCCCTCCTCGAGATTTAACGTCTTGGCCAGCCATAAGTACATAAATTGTGAAAGTTCTTTACCTTTTTCTTCTCCCTCCTTCAGACCCCGAAACTTCAAATTCATTTGCCGCCAGCGTTGCTCTAGCGAAGTTATTCTTGTAGCCATTTGTTTCTCTGTGGCTTGTGTGTTCTTGCTTTCTTCCCGCAGCATCAGCGCCAGCTCCGCTGTGTTTTCAGCGATTTTTGTTGTCTCTGCCAAGTCTCTTGTCAGTTCGCTGATTTGGCTTTGCATGGGTCGGATGATCTCTGCTACCATTGTGGAAAGTGATTTAAGTAGGTCTTCTTTTAAGTCAGTTAAGTCTTTTTTCGTTATAGTTGCATTTGGGTCCGTCGGGTTTTCAAAAACGTCTCCCGCTTTTTCAGCCGCCATTTTGTTTGTCTCTCGGCGTTGCTCTCTCGTTTCAGCATTTTTTGTATTTCTGGTGAAATATGCTTTAACTGTCTTGTTCTGCATAGATTTCTTTGTCGGTTGTTCTTTAGAAGGTTTTCCCATTACTATGTGTTGTTGTATTCATCGGAAATATTCAGTTTTCAACGTCTTTAGGAGGGTTTGGCTTGGAGCTTTAAAGAAACGCGTCCGCCATCTCTCGCGTTGCTCCGCCCCCCAGGGGTCATTTCCTGCAGGAGCGCACAGGAGGGGAGTTCCGGCAGTAAAGAGCCCAGGGGGCGGGTACATGCAAAAAGCCCTACCCCCTGCTCCCAGCAGCCCTCAGTCAGAGCAAGAAGCAGGCAGGTAAGTTGCAGAGCCCCCCCCCGGCCCCCCAGTCCAAAACAGTCCAGTGGCACATTTAAGACCAAGTCTTATTCAGGTGCAAGCTCTCCCTCCTCTGCGAGGACAGATCTGCATATCCCCCCCCCAATAGCTAGCAATCCAAAACAGTCCAATGGAGCCTGAGCGGTGGGTGTTGCCTTCTGACACACTTCCAGTGATCGGGGGTGTGGCATATGCCAATGAGTTATGCTAATGAGCTCCTGCACCTTTTTTTCTACGAAATGACCCGACAATACCTATGTATGGATGTTACACTGCACCCTCAGATGACATACAAAAAGTGTCCATAGATCTCTTGTGACTAAGTGATGTTGCTGATGTAAAGCAGAAATTTCCTGTGCAGCACTGGTGCACAGCTGTACATGTCGCCCAGGTATGCCCGTGTTTCAGTCTAACATCCTCTAGGATCAAAGCAGCTGTGTGAATAACTTGGAATCAAATTTCACAGAATATATTCATAGAATTATTGCAGATCAGCTGTTCTCAACTTGGGCTGAATATGGAGGGTCCCAAAACTAACTGGAGCCCCATGCAGTATTTGGAACCAGATTTCACAGAATATATTCACAAAATTATTGCAGACCAGCAGTTCTCAGCTTATGTTGAATTTGTTTTTATTTTAGTATGGAATACATTCATATTGTTGATGGTTTTTCCTTACCGTTTTCTTCCTTACTGAAAAGTTTTAGGCTGGTTTTTGCAGTGGCCTGAATCCAATACTTTTCTTCTGTTTGTGCAGTGTGGGCCACTGGTGCTAACTGGTTTCTACTCATGCAAAAACCTGTGCCTTACATGAGCAAAAAATACCAATCACTGGAGGAACATGTTCCACAACATTGGATTATATTGTGTAAACTGACGGAAGCTACCCATAGGATCTTAAGCCTATATCTGTAACTGTATTTTGTATACATTGTTTTAACTTGAGAACAGTGATTACTTGCAATGGGATGTATGATGTTAGCTTGAAAGCAAAATCTACAGAACTGATGTGCTGTAAGCATAAAGGAAAAAACGGTTTTAAAGAATGGATTAGTACCTTTCCTTTGATCACTGCCTTATGTGTTTACAGTGTTTTGATATAACTTAAGTTGATTTGTGTACTTGGTCTTTAGCTAAGAAAATTGCAACCAGAACCATTTATGGAGATAACATTATTGTTCATCGATAACAGAAGCTCTCATAAACATAAATAAGGGAGAACAACCAAGCTAACCAGCAGCCCCAACTGAGTTCTCAAAACTGTGTACAAAGAAAAAACACACAGATGCATAGAACAGATTTGTGGAAACAGTTTTATGAAGTACATGTGACATGTTCAAACAAGTTTTAGAACTTCAATGGAATATAAGCCCACATCTTTTGGGTTGTTTATTCTCTGTAATTCCTTAAGACTTCCTTCAATCTTGTTTAGTTCAGAGTAAAAATGAACCTAAAAAAAAAAAGGAAGTAAGTGGTCATAACTTAGGCTTTTCAAAAAACAACTACAAGTCAATATGAACTGCTTTACAGAACAGCTACTTCATGTGACTTACAGTCAGGAAAAAAAGACAAAATGTACCTCTATACTACATGGCTACTATGGTGGGTTTTTCTGTCATCTATCTAATCTATCTAATCTATCTATCTATAAAAGAAAGTCCCCTCACCGTAAAATCAACATCCAGGCAAAACCGCTGGACCTAGAGACACCAAATTCAGGGAGAGCGCTCCTACCATGGCGTAGGTGTTCGCTAAGAAGGGATGTTTAGAAATTCAACCCCTAAGTGGGTCAAAAGGGGGAAAATGTGCTCCCCCCATTTAATTCTATGCGGCTGCCAGGTGACTGCCTCTCTGCACCCCCCACTCTCTAATTGGTTTATGTGGAGATAGTAAAGGGCATTTCTAGGAGCCATTTCAATGCGTGCCTCCCTCATGAACCTGAAGAAATGTCCACCACATCACCACTCCCTCATACCAACTCCCCCTCACACCTCTTACTGCCCCCAAGAAAGCTCCTGGCAAACATCGAGCCAGATACACCAACGCTACAAGGAAGAGGCAACTTAGGAATGTGGCAAAGACATTTGCACATAGTACTTCTGCAGTGCACTGAGCTGCACAGGCCAAGTACCAGCAAGATCACCCCGAGGTGCTCAGAACAACACAGTCTCCATATGAGCAAAACAATCCAGGAATACAAGTAGAGAGGCCATCACTTTCGTGGAAGGTAGCAGGAGTTGACTTAACAGACAACTGCTTCTTAAATGGACAGTTCTATGTGGCCTGCTCCAGAGTGAGCTCATCAAGCAGTCTGGTGATCCTAGCACCTGAGGGCAGAACCATCAATGTGGTCTACAGAGAGGTCCTTTAGTACAGGAAAAAGAAAGGATGTATCACTTCATTTCTTACACTACAATCTTCTCCATTAGAATTCCTACAACAAATGTCACATTTCAAATTTCACATCATCAGTATTATAACTGGATTTACGGAACTTAAATACTGTAGTGAAGCACAGGTATCAGGCTAGTATACAATGAAAACAATAAAACTACATTCATGTTTCCAGTTTCAAATGAAAGAAAAAACTTACTTGGGCTCTTACAAACTTGTGAAGGCTAGAAAGCAACCCTTTTGCTTCCGGAAGCATTACAACCACTGTAAAATGAGCATCTAGGACCAGGCACATCCAGTCCATGATCTGAAAATGAAATGAGTGTTACATAAGCATTTGCTGAGTCAAACCAAACAGCACAGTGCCCAATCTTCAGCACATTTGTGTTTTAGCCCAGCTGGTGTAGTGGTTAAGTGCACAGACTCTAATTTGGGAGAACCGGGTTTGATTCCCCACTCCTCCACTTGCAGCTGCTAGATGACCTTGGCAAGCCATAGTTCTGTCAGAGCTGTTCTTGAAAGAGCAGCTCTCAGAGCTCTCTCAGCCCTACCTAACTCACAGGGTGTCTGTTCTGGGGAGGGGATGGGAAAGGAGCTTGTAAGCTGCTCTGAGACTCTGAGTGAAGGCGGGATATAAATCAAATCTCTTCTCTTCTGACTGGATAGAATTTCAGTGCAAATACGTTTAGGATCACAGCCTTAGACTGGTTATTTATTTGAAATTCTGATGCTTTTGCGACTATTTTCTTCATCATATCCACACTTTGTATCATGCCTAACATGCTATGCTAATTCAGTTTTCAGTAATCTTAGTACACTGCTCACAAGATGTTGCATCATATTGATAGTATTTATCTATATTATGCTTATTAGACATCTCTTTGTAGGGACTGTTATTGACTTACTGTGTAACCTGCCTTAAGTTTCAGTGAGAAAGACAGACTATACAGTAAATATTTTACAAAAGACAGCAACTTTACAGAAGACAGCATTTTTTCAGCCTTCTTTCCAACTATATTAATTCTGTAGAGCTGTTACCAAGTATTTTTTGTCCATACTTTTGACTGCTGTTTTCAAGACTGCTTTTGAGAATTAAATTAATTGATGGTGTTTTATTTAGTAACTGTTCTGTTGAACACAGTGTGTGTCTGTGTGCATGCAGATACACACACACATATAAATATAGGTTCTGGATGTGTTTGTGCTCATTGAATTGGATCTACCAATCTCCCCAGCTGTCCTTTTCAACTCATGGAAAGCTTGAGTGTTAGTCTACAGAGATCCCATAACCTCAGGAATCAACTTTTTTGCTGTCGGGTGGGGGCACAAGAGGAAATTCTGTGTTCATCCACTGACAAATCACTGGATCCAACACTCTGTGTTTTACTTGATTTTATGAAACTGTTTTATTTATTGTTAGCTGTTTTATCGGTCTATTGGGCCAAGAAGTTATAGAAGCACTTTAAATGACACCCCTTTATTCTGGGGTGGAGGAAGGAAAGAAAAATATTTTTTTCTACACCAAGAGCACAGGAGATGCTTTGCAATAACCCCCAGGACACTTAAATTTCAGAGTCTCACTTTCTCCCTGCCCACTCACACTCAATGTAACAATGGAAATTTCAGTACTAGTTTAATGAATTGTTTGTGAACTGTTTGAAGAATTGTTTTTAGATGTTTATATTTATTGTTATTGTGCTTTTATCATGTGAGCCGCCCTGAGTCTGCTATGGTGGGAAGGGCGGGGTACAAATCTAAATAAATAAATAAATAGTTATGATAAAAAGCAGCAATATCAACATGCACAATGTAGCACTCATGAAACATACTACAGACATTGTAGACACCATATAATCAGGAGCAATACAGGGCAAAGATGATAGTTTGGTGGTTGAATTTGAGATTGGCATCAGAACAGATATTTGAAAACAAAACCATAGCACAGAATAAAAAAGCCAGCATGCATTACATTTTTGCTACAAACTAAATTTAAACATGTATGGCTGTTGAAAGTTAGCTGATAGTATCTGTCATTTTTAGTAATGATTCTGTGTTATGTACCAGAATGCAGTACAGACCTTGTTATAGTCAGACACACAAATGCTTATGGGAGAAGTACTAAACCAATCAAAAAAGTCACCCATCTCCAACCCATTCTGCAGGGATGAAATCCGAACATGCAGAGGAATGCACATGAGATCTCTTCAGTTAAAAGAAAAGGAAAGCCTCTACACTACAAGATCCATATAGGTGCATCTGCAACAACTGGTGACTGGAATGGATTAACAAAGCAAGTTTTAGTGTTTTCTCCTCACCTGATTTATAGTTGGACAAAATATTCCAGGAAGGTTTGTAGTAGCTTGTTCACTGCATTTCATATACAGGAACTGCAAATACTGGAGAAATAACTAGAAAGAAAGAAGAAAGCTACTTCAAATGAGTTGTTTATGTCCTATCTTGAACACAATTCAAGTAACACCTTTTATTAAGGACCAGCCTAAATGACACAGAATAGCATGCGAGCTTTCAAGTTCACCAGAACTCTTCATCAGTCTGGAAGTTATAACTATTGAAAGCAAGGTGGAGGCAAAAGCAGATGTTAAACTTCTGAAGGCTCTCCCCTTTATCAAAGTCAATGCAAGGAACTATTTAAGGGCAGCAATGATAATCACAAGTGCCTTTTCTGTCACAGCTATTAAATCTGAGTTTCCTGTGTTAATAGTAAGAAAGCTGCAAGATGTTCGATGGACATTTTTGGTAAATGCTTGAAGAGCAAGAATAACGCTAATCAGAAACAAACTGACTTTTGAAGAAACATACTTACAATGACTTGCTCAGCAGACAGATCTTTCAAATGAGGCAAAAGGAAGGTGTCACTGTATGCCGAACACAGAATGGCATTACTGCATAAGGTTCAAATTGTGTCAAGAATCAACATGTATTAAGATTTGTATCTAACCTTACCTCAAAGGGAGTTCCATAATTAAAAGTTCAACTAGTTTACAAAGAGTGAACAAAAAATCTATTAATTATCAAATGTCTTGCATTGTCTCTGAGAAGAAGACGCTTTGATTATTAAAGCTCCAAGTTTTGGAGCAAAGGCACATAAGTCCTAGGAGACTCTCAACATACAGATCACTGGCTTATAAGCACTTCTAAAAATCCTCAGCCAGAAGATAGCAGTGGGGAGAGAAATTCAATTACTGTACGGTATTGTGTTTAGAATAGCCAGATCCAAAGATTGTTTGGTAGCCGCAAATTCTCTTAGCATTATGCACCACTATGTGCCTAGCTAGACTTGTTTTTAGGGGCTGAGACAGCTCTGAAAGAACTGTGACTGACCCAAGGTCACCCAGCTGGCTTAATGTGGGGGAGTGGGGAATTGAACCCAGTTCTCCAGATTACAGTCCACACTCTTAACCCCTACACCAAAGTGGGGGGAGAGAAAGGTGTCAAATGATTAGGTCAGTACCTCAAGATCAACTTCAGAACCCAAGATAGATTTTGTTGCCAATATGCAATGCATTTCCCTTAAATAAGCCCAGTCCACCCAAGCCCTCAAGAATGAATCTCAAGAGAAAGACTCCGGGGAAATCATCAGCAATAGTTAGGGGAATAAAGAAGCCACCTTGACAGGTTCTGACTGACCTTTTTAGAGGAAGAGTATCTTTCCTACAATTTGACTGGCATGCTAATAGCCAGTTAAACATAATTATAACAAATAAAGATTAATCTACACGGGTCATTGTATCCCCATGAATAAAAAGGAATCCAGTTCTCAACCCCATGGAGCTATTTATCTTTGTAATCAAGCTACAATATCAGACTGGCAGAATGGGGTTCTGAGCAACAGCATTTTTTTACTTTGGGAAAAGGTTAACATTCCTCCTTAGTATTGAAAGGATACAGTAATATGGCTTTTTGTGGTCCAACAGGGCAGAATTTACTTCTATCCATCGCATGAGATTTCTGGGTTAACTGTGCATCGCAGCTGTTTTCCTCTAGTTCAAAACTGAAGCCATTCTGTACCACTTCAGATTGGTTTTTTATTTTTCTGTTACATGCAGTATCAATATAACCAGCTACGGAATCTACATTTATATTCATTTCTTCAAGGCTGTCATCACTAAGGCTGCAAAAGAAAGTACATTTCTACAGTTAGAACACTGATATTTTTTGAATATGACATTTAAAATATAACCGTGAAACTGATATTTCAATAAATACGAGGACAGTCTGCAATGTACAATATAAACAAAAAAGCACAACTTCCGTTTTGTGTAAAAGATCATATATGCAACATGTTGCCAGGGTTTTTCTGAGGATTAAAATACTTCTGTCACTTTTTAAGACAGTCAAAACAGTATTCTAGATACAACCAAGCATTTGTGAAACTTGGTTGCATTGAGTGCAGTGTTTCTGTGGGTGGAATTCCCCCACAGAAACACCCCCAGGAACAGATATCAGGAGGAATTTTGGGCTGTGTAGTCAAAGCTGGGTGGTGGTGGTGGGTTAACGCTGTGCTCTGCAGGCTGAAATTCTTGTACCCACAGAAATTCTGTGGTGCTAAATAAAGGCTGAAGGACTCTGAATTGTGCCTTAAAACATTTACTTTAATGTTGCTCTTGGAATTTTCTTAAAATAGTTAAATGATGGGCTCAAAGCTAAATATATTAGCATAAATGACCATGTTCAATGTAATCTAAACATGTTAAGAATAACACTTATACAAGCTAATGTAGGATCTCCTATACTTGGGGTTTTAGTTAGTAGTGGTTTTCTTTTCTGTATCTTTAGTTGTAGTTGTTTCCCCCTCCCATTTTTCTTTGTAGTTTGTAGTCTTTAGAAAATGCAATAAAAAATCCCCTTTGGGGGTTCAAAAAAAAAAAAGAAAAGGAAAAAAAGAAATTCTGTGCTGGATACAACCTGTCATATTTACCATCATGGATTTATCATCAATTTCTTCATTTCTGAACTTTTTCAGCCCTAAGTAATAAAGGCTAAAACAAAGAAACCTGCTATATCATCCTTACAAAGCGGGAAGTCAATGGAGGTATGTTAGTTGTGACCTGAAGAGGGTTGGGAGACATCTAGAATGACATTAGTGGCAAACCCATACTGAATGTGGACTCAAGGGGTTACTGCTGGAAACCAGTTGTCATCTGTTTGGAAAGTATCCTGTGGAGTTCCACAGGGTGCAATTCTATCCCCCAGGCTTTTCAATCTCTATGTAAAGCCCTTAGGACAAACCATTCATAGCTCTGGGGTTGGATGTCAACAATATATGGATGATACCTAGCTCTGTATATCCTTATCCAAATCCCCCGGTGAGGCTGTAAAGATCCTGAATTGCTGCCTGACTGCTGGGGTAAATTAGCTAAAACTGAACAAATTGAATCTAAACCTGAAAAGACAGAGATAATGCTGGCTGGGAAGGTGGAGATCTTGAAGGACACTGTGCTCCCCACTTTTGGTGGAGTTCAGCTGACTCCTGCTAACTGAATTAAGAGCCTTGGGGTTATGCTGGACCTAACATTATTACTGGAGAAACAAATTAATGCAACTGCAAACAAAGCTCTCTTCCCACTCAGCCTAGCCTGAAAGATGGCCCCTTACCTTGATACAGCTGATCTGGCCACGTGGATCCATGCCACAGTAACATTAAAACTAGACTACTGAATGCATGCTTACACTGATCTCTCCTCCAAATCAATTTGGAAACTCCAACTGGTGCAAAGTGCTGTGGCTCTGCTATTACCAGGGATAGCAACCCGCAGGGATGGCTGCCCATCACTTACTGGGTACAATTTAAGGTATTAGCTATCACGTACAAATCCCTTCATGGCCTTGGATCGTCATATCTGCGAGACTGCCTCTTCCTGTACATTCTGCCACAACAGCTTCACTCATTGGAGCAGTGTCTTCTGTAGGTGCCAACCTGCAAATGGGCAAAATCAACACCTGCCCATACACGTTCCTTCTTCACTGTGGCCCCTGCCTTGTGGAACAGCCTGCCTGAGGAGGTCAGGAAGTCTCTCACTCTCTTCGCTTTCTGAAAACTGTGCAAAACTGAATTATTCAAGGGGGCTTTTTATGCAGGCAAGAGTTGCACTGTACTAAAGCTTTCATAAAGTTACTTGGATAAATTATTAGGGATTGTGGTCTATACATGGTAGTGTATAGCTTGCTGAAACTAGGATCATACTATGTAATTTTTGCATCATTTAATTTTAAGACTTATGCTTTGCTTCCATTCTGTTTTTAGGGCTCTGGCTGGTTCTATACCCCTAATTCCTGTTGCATTGTTCACTGAATGCCCCATTCTGTTGATTGTATTCTTATTCTGTGTAATCTGCCTTGAGTCCAAGTGAGAAAGGCAGACTATAATTACAGTAAATAATAAATAAAAGTGAATGAGTTTCCTGTGTGAAAAATGCCACTTGCTACCTAAAACAATGTCTGCTATCAAAAACTGATACAAAAGAAACATAAGTAGTGCAAAGCAAATGCATGCAATAATTTCTGCTTTTGACACTGCTTTCCAAAGTGATGAGTTATGCAATACAAATTCATTCTCTCAAAACCCCTTTATTACAAAGGAATCTGGAAAGATTTTAGTCGCTGAAAGCAGTTCTTATAAGAATAATCATTAATTGAAGTGTAGGTAAAATTATTTTACATGTACCTCAGGAAAGTCCTCAGACAAGCACAGGTCACTGCTTCAGGAATATCTGGAAACTGCTGCAAGCACAGTTGTAGCAAGCATACATCTGTTTTCTCCAAGGCAATTGTCATTAAGCCTGGGCACATGCTTTAAGACAGAATAAACAGTAAATGTCCAGACCTATTCAGATGAGTTGCTTAATATTTTTTGCTTTCACAGAAACTACAAAAATTCCTGGGAGCATCAGAATTAATAGATGAATCAATTTTGAAGGCTTTAGTCCTTTACATTTTGTTAAGAAAGATTAGAAGTCACCTATAAGAGAGGCCATGCATCTGGGTCAGTTGCATTAGGCAATTAGAAGGATAAAACGCTGGCTCTGCTTCACATCTGTTCACAAGCGCCAATATGATGTTCCCAACACAGACTTGGAAGTTTGGTATCTGAGCACTGGACAAAAAGTTCATCAGCTTTTCTTCAATTACATTCAGAGAAGAATTCTAAAAAAAAAATAAATCAATAGTGCCATCAAAAGTTAGGACTGTCACCTAATTACACTTTAGTCCATTTATCTTATGTGTTTTAATTTTATTATGAACATGAAAATTCATGTTGATTTAAAACAACGGTTTTGAAGAAAAAGTACACTTTGCTTTTTGATGCTTGCCCACCACAGCATGCAATGGGCTGGATCCCATGGAGCCATTCTGCTGGTGGTGGCTCTTTCTCGGAAGAAAGAGAATGGATCTAAAAGATCCAAGCCACTATCCTAAGAACATATTTCCACCTCTCTCTCTTCACACCAAATGGAATGCCTCAAGGAAGATGGTGCCTGCTATGTACAGTTTTCTTCAGTTAATAATTTTAATGCAAGTACTTTTTAAGGGATACATTTTTAATCAAGTGGATTTTAAATACTAGTTACCCTGTTTCAGGCTTGCAAATACTTGTTTATAACTTACGAAAAACTGGTTGGATTCAGTCAGCTTTCCTTTTTCGATCTCACCCAATTCCCCTCCATACTACAGCCCCATCCTGCATGGCTTTTGTACGTGTGTTAGAAATAAAAACTAACCCTGCATCTTCCAGGCCTTTTCCTACTGCCAGAGTGGAACCATCTTAGCTTTACTAAGCCTTTCTCTGTCTTTTCAAGAAGGCAAGATGCCTTTCTTTCTCTCAGAAACACTGTATCAGAGGCACAAGCAGCAGACAGCAGGGAGCACAGGCTTATCTCAACTGAAGGTCAGTTGATAGATGAAAAACAAGAGCCCCAAAGTCACATGCACAGTCGAACATACAGTTTCTGAAGGCCCGATAAGGACCCCAGGAGGGTCCAGCCAGTCTTATCGCATCCATGACACTTGCAACATGCACAGAACGTGTAGTCATGCATGGTCATTCTGATGCACAATGGTCCCATAGAGCTCATGTTGCTCACAAGGTATAAGAAAGGTGCCCACCACTGCTCAGGGTCAGCTCTTCATCTAGACAGGCCCACCCTGCTTGAGCACCCTACTTGCTCTTCATCCATGGCACCTGAGGTACAGTATTGTCTCTATATGCCTTTGTCTGCCTCCCAAGCTCAATCCTGGAGTCTGTGTGGGGACTGCTTCTAATTATTATTATTTACAGAATTTATATCCCACCTTTCTGCCCTTACATCTGTCTCTGAAGAACCTCTGTCTTGACGAGAGCCCATTTCTTTGCATGTGCTGTGGATTGCGGGAAGAGAGAGTACTCGCAAGGTTAGATCCCCGCTTCCTCTCGAGGAAGGACACGATCCACCCTTCCACAGTGGGCTGCATATGCTTAATTGATTACTTGAAGAGGATATTTACTTGGGGGCTTAGAAACCCCATCTTGATACAGTGTTAACCAGTGGGAGTACCCTCTCCAGGTCACCCCATGAGGAAGGAGAGAGACTCAACACTTCTGTCACATGCAGGTCCCATTTTGGATGGTCAAAGAAGATGCCTCCTTCCTTTTTCACCAGCAGAAAAGTTGATTGGATCCAGCCCAATATCTTACTACTTTGTATTGCTGGAAAAAAAACCCTTAATTATGCTTTTTCAGTGGGAACCTAGCTGTGCTAGATTTATCAACAAAAATATGTCTAGTTGTTATAATGTTGATCAATATGAAATGGATAAAACTCACATTTGCCATTTCTCCCAAAAGGAAATAGAGGCTGTTAGTGCTGTACATGAACTACTGTTCTTGCACAACAGTTTCAAGGGACAGTTCATCTGGTTCATGCAAATATACACATCCAAATGCATAAAGGTAAATACTAGAACTCAGGATGCCCCTCAGGATGATGTTCCTAATAATTTGCCCTTCCACTATTAAGAAGGATTTTTCATATTTACCTTTATAATTAGTAGAAGCTGTTCCAGCGTTAGGGGTTCTAGTTGTGTTTTTGCACCTGTGGTCCTTCTTGACCTCAACTGCAACATATAACATAAAAAGAATTTCCCAGAGAAATAATTACATTTCTGTACTTCCTACCAAATAAATGAACCAATTTTTAACAGCAATTATGACTAGATTATAGATCCAGATGGGCAGCTGGGTTGGTCTAAAGCAGCAGAACAAAGTTTGAGTCCAGTGTTGGGGTGTGCACAAAATATTTTGGTATTTTTCAGGTTCGGGTATACTAACCCCCCCCCCCCAAATCAGTATATTGATATAGTCACAAAATAATTGGTATTGCCGAATTTATTTGGCAAAGCTCCCCTTACATGACAAGAAGTCATTAAACTCCTTCGCTGAAATGGCTTCCTCCCATTTAAACTGAACAGTATGGCGGGTTCGCCTATCAGCTGATTGGTTTAAATGCCTTCCCTTCACTCTAAGGCATGCCAGAAGGTGAGTGAATTCGTGCTGCTTTGGCTAGTGAAGCTGAGCCTGAATAAAAGCTGAATAATATTGGCTATTATTTGGCCTCAGCTAGATTGGTAGCAGAATCAGATTAGAAAACCTGATTCAGCTGAATAAATACTCAAAACAATTATTTGGCTCTGTATATACCTTCTGGTACATGGCAGTAGAGGGGGTCTCTGCCACCCAGATAGAGATGTTGACTCTGAAGTGCTGTAATGATTGTAATGTCCCTTACAACTGGGAAGTGGCAGAGGGCCTACCTGGAGATGAGGCTGTCATGTGGCCAGTGATACCACCCATGGTAGTGGGTGGCCACAGCATCAAGGTATTGTGCAGTGAGTGTGATGGGCCCTCCAGAGAGGGCCACCCCCCAACACTGGCTGACACCTGCCCTTTCCTCTACAAGTGACTCTCAAAGTGGGGAAACTATCACAGGGCCATCAAAAGAGGTACCTCAGGGGGGTACCAGCAGCCAGGAACTAGCCCTAGGGCCTTGGAAGGAGGGGGCCTCTGCCATCATGGCCACCCCATCTCCCCTGGCATGGTGCTCATTCAAGTCTCTAGGGCCCAACGACCTAGACTTCCATTCCCTTGTGGCAAGACAGGAGGAGATGGAGTTCGGTGAAGGGAAGGCAGACCAAAGTCCCCAGGCTGATGGCAAGAGAGGTGAGATGACTTTGAGCCAAGGTGGTAGCCCCAGAGTGGGATGGTATGGCTGCCCACATGGGCTGAGACTCCACCTGCTACCCCCCCCCCCAAGGCCCTTTTCCCTGATGTTCACAGCTGATGTTGTGGACCATCTCTGCACCCTGACCCCAAGAAAAGCTGTGGCACCCGAGTCAGTCATCCTGCGGACACTGGGAATCACAGGAGTTCCTGGAGCCAGCAGCTAAGGCCAACGTCATGCAGTGGGCAAACTCAACATCTTCAGAAGGTGGCAGAGTGGGGGCAGCAGGGAATGGAGAGGGTGAAGATGGAAGAGGTGGGCAACAGCTTCTGGAGTTGGGTGGTGTGGATGTTGGTGTCCCTGGCAACACAGGGGACTCTGGTCCCTTGCTTGGGCTCAGCCCCCCCATCCTCTCTACCCTGTGGACGGCAAACAGGAGCAGCTGGAGACCCACTGTGAGTGGCAGGAAGCTTTCGTCAGGGGTCACCTGTACATGGAAGGGTTGGCAGCTGTGACGGCAGCTGCCAGGCACCTGGATGGGCTATTTGCTGTCACGAGAGACACTGGGGATAGACAAGTGCACACTCAAAGGCTGCTGGGGGACCTGTCCACAGTGCTATTGGCCCCTACACAGTGTCCGACCGCTGCCCCAGCAGCTCCTCCCTGCTCCACCGCCTGTAGGGGTGGCTTAGGGTCACCCTTGGCAGAGTGGGTGGTCTGCTGGGAAGTGCAGCTGCCGGTGAGCAGAAAACACACATGATTGCACAAAATCTCAACATTTCCCTGTGCCCTTTCCAAGGTGAGGGTGCATTTTGCACCATGTGAGCCAAGGGCCTGGTTGGCATTTCTGTGGGAGGGGGGTTGCTGGGGCCCTTGCCAACTATGTTAGCTGTCGAGGCACTTGTGACAGAACTTGGTCCCTTTAAAAGGGGTAGCCAGTATCCCTGGCCACACCTCTTTCAGTCCCTGGGTTGTGACCATCACTGGGCTTGTCCCTAGGCCTGCTGGCCCCTGATAGGTTGTGCCCTGTCCATCATGGCCCAACTGCTGCAACACAACATCTGGACGGGATGCTATGGCGCAGTTGCTGGGGACATTGATGCAGTTGCAGCCTAGAACACCCAGCTACAAACTCTTTTTCCTGCCAGTTGCTCACTAACCAAACCCTTCAGGAAGCAGACTAACTCAATTGGTGGCCAGCCACTGCAGCACAGGCAGGGCCGGCTTTCCCGCTAGGCCAACTAGGCACTTGCCTAGAGCAGGAGGCCCTGGATAGGGCGGTGGGTCCTGGATGGGGGCGCCAAAGTTCGTCTCCCCCCGCCAAAAGCCAGCGCCGATCCCTGAGGCTCCCCTCCGCGTTCCTCCATGTCCTTCCCGCCTGCCCGTACTCTCTCCAGCAACCCATGGCCGGCGTGGGGGGGGGGGAGGATTGTGTGAATGATTCTCGGCAGAAGCGGTGAAGAGATCGTGGCCTCCGGGGGCCAAGCGACAGCGGCGTTTTGCCTCCCCCCCTCCCCGGGGGCAGCCTGCCGTTTGCATGGGCCCCGGAGGGGACTGCCGTCGCCCGAGTTTCCCAGAGGGTAGCTGGCGGTGGAACTCCAGGTTCCGGGAATGATTCACACAATCCTCCCCCCCAGTGCGCAAACTTGAGGCCGCGGCGCTTTCTTTCTGCCGGCGTCTGAGCCAGCCAGCCAGCCCTCCACCTCGGTGCGCCCCAGGACCCCCCCCCCGTGCGCAAACTTGAGGCCGCGGTGCTTTTTTTCTGCAGGGCGCGCTTACCTCCTGCGTGGCGGTGCCTGCAGCAGCTCCGGCAGCCTTAGCTCCCCCGGCAGGTGGCGGCAAGCATGGCCCCGGCGCGGGCTCCCCTCTTCATATACCCGCTCTGCCGGCGCCTTTCCCCGCCAGCCATGGGTCACTGGAGAGGGTCCGGGCAGGCGGGAAGGACGTGGAGGGACGCAGAGGGGAGCCTCAGGGATCGGCGCTGGCTTTTGGCGGGGGGAGGCGAACTTCGCCGCCCCCATCCAGGGCCCGCCGCCCCATCCAGGGCCTCCCGCTGGGTTCCCAGTGAAGCGGTTTCCAGGCCCCACTGGGAGGTTGGCACCTGCAGCCTCGCCTCGGGCCGGCCCTGAGCACAGGTGCTCCTGTGCTGCTTGTTGGCTACTAAGTTACTACTAAGTTTTCTCTACATGAGTATTACATGTGATCACAAAAGCAAGAAGGACACACTAATACATGCTAACTGATCAATTAGATAAGCTTAATAAATTCCTTTTGGGGCGAGGATTGCCTGCTGGCTGTATTCCAAGAAGCTATCACTGAATCCAGTTGATTTCAATAATAACAGGACCTTTTTTTTTGCATAAAGTCACTGAGAGAGTGATGGCTGGACAGATCCAAACACTTTTGGATGAAGCTGAGTGGTTGGCCAAAGGGGGCATGCTTGGTGGGGGCATGAGATATTTTTAGACTGGCATTTAATGTTGCTATTTCTGTTTCAACATTTCCTTTCATCAAATTGTTCTATACTATCATTACCTTGGGTCCTGAGACCCTCACAAGAAAGGGTCAGTGTACCCCCTTATGTATGGGATCTTCCTTGTGGGTGGAATGTGGATTGTATGCCAGCCACCTCAGCTGTCTGTGGATGTGTGCCACCACCCAACAGAGGATTAAGTTGCTGAGTGGCGCTGGATTTTGACTGTATTGTATGTCCTTCATTATGTACTGATATATATTGTTATGTTGCGCACTGCCCTGGGTCCTGCCTGCAGGAAACCGAGTGGGATAGAAATAAACTAAACATATTAATATTCTAAATAAGTAAATTGATCTGTATCAGTCAGACAGGCTTGGGGACTGAGACCACCTTGGCCATCCTGATAGATGATCTGTAACGGGAAGTGGATGGGGGGGGGGGAGTGACCCTGGTTGTGATCCTGCTACATCTCTTAGTAGCTTTCAGCCACAGTATCCCTTCAGGATGCCTCAGTGTTGGGAACTGAGGAGCAATGCTTTCTGATGGTTCTACTTGTTTCTAGCCTTAAGGCATAACAAAGAGTCTTTTGGCACCTTAAAGACAAATATTGGGGCATAAGATTTTGTGAGCCAGCATCCACTTTATCAACTGTGTGAAATGTTACAGTCAGATGGCACAGATTTAAACCCAGAACTACACAGCTAGTTCCCTGGAACAGAGTCTAAAATTATAGTACATTTTATATTAATTACATATGTATTAAACAACATTATAGGAAGAGAGAGGTAATAGCACGGAAACATACAAGTCTCTTAGATTCACTCTTAGCAGGTACAGTCTGATCTGGCTGTACACATAATAGGCCATCTTCCTGAAGCATATTCCAATTCACAGACAGAGATTTTGTTTCTGTAAATAAAAATACATAAAACAAATATTCCTTTTAAAGGGACAAAATACATCCCCCAAGGGGAAAATAATGTTAATATAAAACTGAACAAGGAACTTGGTTTTTACAATGCCACAACTCAATCTATACAGTCTTTCCCAAGCAGATTACATTCTTGACATAAGAAAGGAAAAGAGGGAAGCAGGAGTTGTGATCATACATTCTGGAAGCTTTTTTTAAAAAATTGAAGGGTAGATATGTTTAGTTTTAAATGGTAGATCAAAGGGTTGGATTGTATCTTGTATTAAGTACGTAGTCTTTATCTGAGGAGTCCAACCTAATATTTTTAGAAATTCAAACACCTCAGGATTTTAAACCATTATTTTAACAGAGAAACATATAATACGGAACAACCACTTTAAAATTAATTCTGATTTTAACACAAATGTATTAAAATCTAATTTACATGGGGGAGAATCCCCATACGCCAAGCTAAGTGTGCTTTACTATGCAAACACTGAGACACTGAAGAAAAAGCCTCCCTACCAAGATCAAGCTTAATAAATTCAGCACAATAGGCCTCTTAGTACACTTCTTACTATGGGTTTGATACCAGGGAGCATAATTTGTAAGTTACTGTGAATTTCATCTCCAGGTTTTAGAAGATGTCATTACTTCACCCAACTAGGAGATCTTAATTCTTTCAGGCAAGCTACCTAGTTTGTTCAATTTGCATGCTTCTTATATTAAAAAAAACAGGGTGGAATCCTAAGTATAAAACAATGGAAAAAGTATGTAGCCTGCAAGAAGTGTTTCGCATAATTCTCCTAGATCTAGCTAGTTAAGAATCAACGTGTACACTGATGCTGAGATTAGATATGATGCTGAGCTTAGATATATTGCTACATATATAAACATATATAAACAAACTGATAAACATGGTTATATTGACACTTAATATGGAATTTATCAACTATCTGAATAACACCCAGAAGATTTTTGTGCTTGTATCTATCTAGGGTGATGTACATGGTTCTATTCCTCATTTCAGCCTCACAATTGCCCTGTGATCTGTTAAGAGGATGAAAAGCTCATGGTGACCCAGTGAACTCTAGTGGCAAAATCAGGATTTAAATCCTAGTTTTCCATATCCTAGTCCAATATTCTAACCACTGCACAATACAGATTTAACCAAATGGAGCCAGTATAGAAAGCAAGAGGTTACAAAAATCAATTCATCTACCACAGTTCGCATATGAACAATCAATGACAAGAACATCATAAACTTTTTGTGTCGTACTATAAAACATTCTGATGTGAAATGATACATAAAATTTGTACTCCTACTGAGGATCACTCAGACACAGTTCAATAAAATCACTGCAGAAAATGCTAGGCCTCAGGGCAATGCGGGATGGTTGAGCCTTGCATTCATCCATCCATTATCCTTACTTCCCCTTCTGTACTCTTCCTCCTTGCTTTATGACCCTTGACCTAAATTTTAGTTAACTTAGGCTTGCCAAGCCCCCACGGGGGGTGGGCGAACCCCTGATTTCCGACTCCCTTACCCGCTTTTTTGAAATCCAGCATCGGGGGGGGGGGATGGCGACCAGAAGTGACACTCTAGCATTTTAGTCCTCCAAGTCTCTATGGCTATGAGTGTCCATTCCACTTCCCTCTAGTGTGTGCTGGTGAGTCCCGCCCCTGTTTTTTGCAGCAGGAGCAGCCTGAGGCAGTTCTCAGAGCCCAGAAGAGTCGAGGGTCCAGGAAGGTAAGGTTTAGGCTGGCCAGGGCTCTGTCTCATGGTCACATTTGTTTTTCCTT